TTAAGTTGGAGTCTTACTCTATCACCCAGACTGGAGTGCAGTGGCCGCTCCCAGCCACCACAACCTCGACCCTCTGGGCTCCGGCGATCCTTCCGCCTCAGCCTTCCGAGTAGCCAGAATTACAGGCACGCGCTACAATGCCCGGCTGATTTTTTTGTTTATTGTAGAGATGAGGTCTCGCTGCCCAGGCGGGTCTTGAACCCGCGGGCTCAGGCAATCCACTCACCTCAGCCTCCCAAAGGCACGAGATTACAGGCTGAGCCACTGAGCCCGGCTGCTTCTGCTCAATTTTGCTGAGAACCGAAACTTATCTAAAAATAAACTTCTTTTTATAAACCTGGAAGTATTTTTTTGAATTGATTTCACAGCACATACATCTGATATTACACAGATGATACACAATGCAGAGTCCTGAGAAAGCAAAGTAGAGGCCCACAGAGTGGAGGCCCACACTCATGCTGGAGCTGGGCCGGTGATACAACACCAGAAGGGGTAAGTTCAAAGTCACATGCGAGGCTCAGAGGAGGAGAAAAGCATTCCGGAAACTCTGATAGCACTCTCCATGGCAAGAACCAGCAACAGAAGAAGGTTGGTGGTGAAGAGGGAGCAGAGGCCAGGCCAGTGGCCACAGGAACCCTGGAGGTCCAGAAAGGTGTGTGGAATGTTCCCACGGGGGAGGTGCTACAAAGGGCTTTGTACAGGGGGTGATGGCAGCTATGGCGGTCAGTGTCCCTTGACCCTCACACTCATGTTGCCGATCCCACGGGATCTTCCTTCAAAGTGAGTTCCATTTTTGGCACACTTATCTTCAGTTTCATGCCATTTTCTTCTCTTGCAGAGAATGCCTAGTTACCTTCCACCTCAGTGAGTTGCAAATGAAGACCCTATCTCAGAAACCCTCTACAGTTAGAGAAATATCTCCCTAAATCCCTACTACAATACAGTATAAACAACAGACACACTTTAGTGTGTTACAAGTAACAGCTTCTAGACTAGGAAATACCATTGGTTAAACCTGTATTCATTGACTATTTAATGAGTGCCAATCCGAACTGACAAAATACATTGCTGTAAACCATTGTCACTTTTACCTGTTCATATGTTGGTGGTCACAGATTTTGAAGAAAAGATTCTGTTGCTAAAAAGATCATAACTCATGACCCCAGCTGGATCTGCTGCTTCCAGCTTTTCTCAACCTCTACTTGGTCCTGCCCACCACTTACAAGTATGTCTCTAAAAACAAATTCACTTTTCTTCACTCTACTCTGCCCATTAAACCTGTCTAAGCCTCAACCTACCTTTTCAGTTTTTACAGTTTCTCAGTAAGAATCTCCTGCTCAAAATAACTTGGCTTGTTTCTTCTTGGTTTCTCCTTTTCTCTCCTAGTGCATTTGTTTATAAAAGCCACCTTATTTCTAGTGAGCTGCACTTCTCCAATTTTACCTGTCTTCATCTTACCAATTCTGCGCATGCAGGCTGGCTTGCCTTTTATAAAGATTTCCTTGACAAGGCTAACCAGCACTGATATGCTTCTGGACTTGCACCAACAATGTCTTTGCACATTTCTTTGAAAACTGACTATTTATAGTCCTATACTGTGTCCAATATAGGTTCCTTTAGCTGTTGACTAACTCATTTTCGTATTTCACTTTTTACATGGTTGTATCTTTTCCTCAAGGGGATCACAGTTGTGACCCTGAACTATTCCTATGTTGCTACACCTAACAATACCTTAAAAATAGTAGGTCATAAGCATGTTTGTTATTTTAAATGAAAATACACAAATTGTTTCCTTAGTAGGAAAGCTCAGGGTGTATAACTCATCTATTTGACTTTAAATGCCATATTATTAAGTCAAAGAAAAATAGGCATGACAAGGCTAATCAAAAACAAAGCATGCTTGCTGTTGGGTTTCATTGGCAGTTATAGTTCAATTGCCTCTGGAAAACTCGCTATAAAAGAGCTCATTTTTGCCCCAGAATGCATGAGGCAAGGCTCTTCACTCACATTGACTTATTCAATCTTGCAAATGGAAAGTCAATTAGTTCCTAAAATTTCATTTCCTGCTCTGTAAGTAGTAAACTATTCTTGCTTCTAATAATATAATGAAGAAATACTTACAGAGTGAA